TTTCTCTTCATCCTCAGCAGAGGCCTGGCAGGTGAACAGGACCCTGGAGGTGAAACTTGATGTCCAGAGAAGCTAAGGACTTTGCCTAAGATCACCAGAGCTGGAACCCAGACCCAGAGGGTCTGCAGCTGAGGCCAGCCGCTCTCCTGTCTAATGCTTAGGGCATGGGGCCAGCCACTCACCTTCTCAGTTTTCTTGCCTGGCTCTTGAGTGTTTAGGAATTAAAGACTGTTTACTAAGAGAAAGCCAAAAAACAAAACAAACAAAAATCAGGGATGGTAGGCAGGCTCCATTTATGTAATACAGATACGTATGTTTGTGCAAGGGGAAAACCCAGAGGAACACACACTTTGAATGCAAAGCTTGCACTTCCAAGTAAAATATTGATGCTTCACAGTAATCACATATTTCTTTGGGAAGAACAGAGACCCTTGCCCCTGTCCATGCTGATAGTATCTCTGACTGAGGGGTTGTGTATAAAGGGGCCCCAGGGGAGGTGCTGAGTGGACATTAGCCTCTTCCTTCCTCACCTACCCTTTCCAGGGTGACCTGATCCCATATCGAGGCAGCCAGGCCTTTAGTGCTGCTGTGTGTAACCCCACTGAAAAAGGGGTCTTCGGCACTGAAAGTGCCTTGGCCTCTAGAGCCCCAGGTGAACTCTAGGAAAGAGGGAAGGACTTCCTGCGCATAGAACAGAGTCTTAGAAGGAAACCTGGCCCTTCTCAGTCCGTGTGTGGGGTCTGCATAGCATTATGTCACCACCCTTGACTTCAGCACTGTGAGATGTACAGTGGGCATAATGCCTCTGCAGTTGTAGGAGAAGCAGCCACACTGTCTTAGGCATTAAGTTATGGTAGCTTGCGCTCGGCATCAGTAGGAAGCCAGTAATCACTAGGTTGCTGCCCTTTAAATCCTTAGTAATCCTACACCTTCTAAGGCCACACTTCCTTGGACAGAACTGGAATTTGGGGATAGCTGAGTCACTCCTCTGGCCTGTGTGCCTTGAGGACAAGGCCATCTGCCTGGCACCTTTTATGGCTTTCTGTGGATGAAGGTGGCTTCCCCTTAAGCAACATGAATTCTCCAAGCAAGTGTGCTATGCCAAGCCCCACAAGGAAAGGGATAACTCAAGGGCCCATTTGGCCCTGGCTCAGCAGGAACCCAAGATAGCCAAGGTCAAAACTGGAGCACAGCAGGATGTCCTTCCTGTGGGAGGGGCCATCCTAGACCCCCGAGCACAGGCTGTGATAAACCTTGCCATTCAGTTAGATAGGAGGCTCCCAGAGGACGCACTGGGGCACCTGCCAAGTCCAGCCCTGTCTCAGATCCTTAGGTCTCCAGCCAGGGCCCAGTTTGGGTCTTGAAAATGCCATCATTCACACAGGCAGTATTTTTCAAGCACCTGCTCTGGCCAGGTACGTGGAGAAACCACAGGTACATAATAGATGAGGCCCCTGCTCGCCAGGTGGTTTTGATCTGCTATGCGCAGAGGAAGGTTGGCTGGTGATTCTAATACTAGCTCAGGAAAGAGGTGAGGCAGGCTGCTCAGAAAGGGAGACAGGTCAGGGCAGGCATAACAGTAAGGAATGAGAGAGAAAGGAGGGGACACTTGGAAGTGTAGCCATACACAGCAAGGTGGTCAGTGGGGCATTTGGTTTTATGTTTAATAGTGTAGTTCTGGTCAGGCATAGTGGCACATTCCTCTAATTGCTGATTCATGAGGATCACAAATTTGAGCCCATCCTGGGCCACTTAGTGACTTAGTGAGACCCTCTACACACACACACACACACACACACACACACACACACAGATAATGCTCAGTGGGAAGACCCTGGGTTCGAGTCCCCCATACTGGAAAAAAAAATTTTCTTGGGACCCCAGCAGATGGCAAACGTTGGAGTAGGATTATGACCTTTTGTATAGCACTTTCCCTCATGTTAATATAGCATTGAGTATCAGTATGTGGCAGCCCCTCGAAGTGCTTTGTAGCAGTGTCTGAATCCTCACATGCGCTGGAGTGATGGAGATGGGGTAAAGCCAGGCCCAGCCCTAACACCTGCACCTACCCAGCAGTGTGTCCTCTCCAGCTTCATGGCACTCAACCTCTGCACGCATCCCAGGAAGGAGAACAAAGCTACTTAACACACACCCAGGGTGTGGCATTTTGATGTCCTAGATGCCACTCACTGAGCCAGTAGAGTCTCCAAGCAAGATCCACCCCAGCATTTAGCCTGAGGTCTGAGGGGACACAAGGGTGGGGGACTTCTGTGTGCAGTCAGGCTCGCGAAGGAGGAAGGCCCATGCACTGTGCCTGTGCTCTGGGCCAGTACACCTGCCTTGGTACTGTGTGGCCACACAAACTGATTAACACCTAAGAGTTTAGCATCAAGGCCAGCCAAGTAGGCCAGGACCATACCCTACCTTCCACCTGCTTCTGTGAGTGAAGCTCTACACAATGCCACCAGCTCCCATTTATCCACGCAGCATCCACAGCTCCTTTCCTATTACCAGAGAAGAGTTGTGGTCTGCAGCAGAGACTGAAGGGCCCCTGAAGCCTGAAAGGTTTATGACCTGACACTTCATAAGAAAATTTTGTCAATCCTTTCCCAGCATGGTAGTGCTGGTCTATATGGAGGGCTGTAAAAAAAAAAATCTCCATGATACATCATTAACAGGGAGAAGCAGGAGGCAGCACAGTGAATAATTTTCCTTTTTTAGAAATAGCAAACTATATATATATCCACACACAGCTGTGTGTACATATATACCTCTAGATGCAATAGAGAACTCCAGAGATACTGTACATTAAAAATTGTAACCGTGGCTGCTGGAGACAGGGCTGGTGAGACTCACGTTTTATACATCGGCCTCTGCACACTTTTTTATTCCACACCACTTTCTGTATTACCAATTCCAGAAACTAATCAAATAATAATGCATTTCAAACAGTACATTGAGGCTGGAGAGCTGACATAAGGAAGATGGAGGAAGGAATCTCTCCTGCCGTATTTTCCTCACCTATCAAAGACAATGGAATTCTTTATTACCTGGGACCTTTTTCTATGTGAACAGTCTTCTCATAACAGGCTCTGAGGGGAGCCCTGTGCAGAAAGCTCAGAACTGCAGTCATATTTCAATGGAAAGACATTGCCAGTGAAGCCCTTGTGGCTGGCAGGCTCGAGGAAGTGGCAGCACTTTTGATGTGAGTGTCTCCTGGGAGGGAAGGGAGCCTCTCTCCATGTTGGGGTGGGGTGATCCGGAACGAACAGACAAAGGCACACGGCTTCCAGGAAAATCGTGGGACTCCGCATAGTTCTCACACTTGCCAACCTACATAAAGTGACTGTTTGCCTATCTGCCTCCTTCCAAGGAAAGTTTAAAGCCATTTCTCAAAGTTCAAATGCTATCAGGTGTTCAACCAATTTCCCAACCCACCAGCAAGCCACCATTCAAACCTAAGAGATAAATGGAGTTGTTTTCACTTTAGCTGATCTTGAAATTTCCAGATTTTTCTGCCCAGCTGTCCTACTTTAATAGAACAGAGGCCAAGCCCTACCCAATTAATGACCTAAATCTTTGGGGCCTGCACCTAAGCAGCAGTACTTTTTAAACTTCTCCAGGTGGTTCTAAAATAAAGCATCCAGGGTTGAGAAGCCCTACTTCAATGAGGCGAGGGTAGATGCCTGGGTTCGAGTCAGAACAGTGTGAACAGCACCTGAGCCACCTACTGGGTGACTGGCCCAGCTGTGTTGTGAACCTCAGTTTCCACCTCTGAAAGGATGAACCACCTCCATGTCACGTGGCTCATGAGGCTGGGGGAGATGGTGTAGGTGAGGGAGTAGCCTCAATAAACAGTCGATGCCTGGCGCCTCTTAACTATCACCAGGAACCCCTCCCCAACAGGCTGCTACAGCTCATAAGCTTTACCATGAGACTTCTGCATCCCCAACCCCGCTGCAGCTCAGCTTCATGGGCCTTTGGCCACACTGCTCCCTCCAAAGAACAATTCTGAGATGCTCCCTTACTGTGAATTCATAGCTTAGCTTAGAAGTCATCACGCTGCAGACATCGACCCTGACCAGCCTCCCCCACCTTGTAAATATCCTTTATGGCATGCACCTCCTCATCCTGGGTGTTTTTTCTACAAACTCTGATAGCTATCTGCAACACTAGCTTGCAAAGCTGCAGCTAAAGAGAAGGGTAAACCCCATGGCTCAGCACAGAGCAGTGCTTGGCCCTGAGGGAGGAGCAATAGCCGTGCAACGAGAGAAACAATGTGTACGGGGCACGGTTGTGCTCTCCCTGCACTGCAGCGGAACATCCATCCTTATAGGTTGGAGAGGGCTTACCCATGTCCCTGTCTGCAGTGGCAGCTGCTGTCCTGTAGGTGTTCTGTGACTATTCACAGTAATCCCCTCTTGTTGGATGCAGAACCAAACAGAGCAAATAGCCTTTTACACAGTGCTGTGATGAGCTTCCTGGGCGTTCTCTTGGGGTCAGTTCCACAAGAGGTCCCTACATTATATTTTTGTTACGCATCTGTTACATACAACTTTAAACTCGGTCTTGTCCAAAGCACTTCTCTTCTTTGGCTTTGAAATGTGCATGTGCTGGGAGATCAAGGCACACAGGGCAAAGCAAGCCATAGGCAGTTCATTCATTCATAGCCTTGAAATAGGGCCTGGAACAAGCCATAGGCAGTTCATTCATTCATAGCCTTGAAATAGGGCCTGGAACAAGCCATAGGCAGTTCATTCATTCATAGCCTTGAAATAGGGCCCACAGACTATCTAGTTGGGCCCTTCAAGTACTCTCAGAAGACAAAGTCTACATAGTAATACAGATTTCCCCCTTTTCCAAGTCCCACTGACCAGTCAGAGCTGGGTCACAGCTGTCTGCTCTCTGTGACTGCTCCTGTTCACCCACCCACCTGACCCTTCCCACAGTCATTGGCATTTGAACCCCCAACCTAATCCAATTCTCCTCCTGTCTTACAGTGATATCACCCCTCCTGGAGAGCCTCTGAACAAGAACAGCCGGCCCAAAGTGGCTTCCCGCTTCCCCAAGTTATCCCGCGGGCCCCCAAGAGAGACACGCAATGTTGAACCCCAGAGTGGTGACCTCTGACCTCAGCAGAATCCTGCACTCTGGCTGCTCTGTCTGGCCTGGCCATAGCAGCTGGCCCCTGATGCCTTGGCGTGATGACCACGTCGACTTGGTGAACCCCAAAGAGCACACCTTCCTGCTGGCCACCTGCCACCCTGATTAAACTGCTTGGTGTCAGAGCACCAGGTCCCTGTCCATAGAGCAAGATGGCTCTTCGCTGCAGACTGGGACATGTGGTCACTACTCACCCAAGGCAGCAAAAGCTGTCACTCCCATTCCTGCAGTGCAGGGGCCAGCAGCAGGGTAGGTACCCAGTTAGACTGGGAATCCCCTGGCTGAGATGCACAACTCCAGTGACTCTTTCCTGCAAGGGGAGTAGAACGACTGTTAGCCTCTTTTGCTCTTCTTTTTAATGTACAGTATTTGCCTCTCTATGACCTGTGGACGAACGGAGGGGATCTTGCACCTTTCATTTAACGCTGCACCATGGTCCACAGGCACCCAGTCGCATTGCCACTGTGGCCCTCACTGGCGTCTCTCCTCCAGCAGACATTCCCCATGGCCTTGGGAAGGAGCCTTCAGTGACATTTATCTTCAATTCTTTGAAAACTTTCCCACTCTCCCTGCCATTGGCCTCTGGAAACACTGGCCCTGTAGGAAGCCCGAACAAGGCTTGTCAGGGGTTCAGCAGGCAGGTGGGGACCTTGGCCCCTCTGAACATCAGTGGCCTTGGCCTTGGGTCCTGAGAGACTAGACTTGGAGAACCACTACAGAAGGCTTCATGAGCCCTCAGGTTTTCAGACCCAGCTCCGTGTCCAGTAGGTCATGATTGTCCCCTCAAGTCACATTCACCATGTATCGTCTGTCTCCAAACAGGCTCCCAATGGGTGGAGAACCCTGTCTCCCTGAGACTCGTCATTCTGTTCCTGCCTCAGGGCAGGGTGTCATAGTCTAGGGACCTCAGCAGGCAGGGAGAAGGACAAGGACCAACATGTGGCAGCCCACATGCCCCACCTTGGACCTGCCTGACCATGGTGTCACGGGACCCCAGCTGGTGGCTGCTTTAACCTACAGAATCGTGGAACCAGTCCTGCCTAGTCAAGAGCCTCCTCTATGGCTGAGTGCAGCTGGGAGAATTTGCAGAATGGACCATGAAGGAAATAGTGTATGTTCAGCTTTGCCTGTGGCAGGTGGAGGTGTTGGGGAATTCTATGCACGAGGTGATCGTGGAAGCCGCCGTGGCTTGTGCTGGAACTGCTCCAGCTCATTGGTTGACATCTTGGTGGACCATCTGGTGAGCGTGCTTTCCTAACTCAAGGAGAACTTGGGGAAGAATCGTCTGGAAGATGGGCGCTTCTGGTCCCCTGGTCACCAGAGGGAAGCTTCTTCAGGCAGTTAGGGTAAGCACAAGTCACTGCCATTAGTCCCGCAGGGAAGCAGAGAAGATGCAATGGGCTCCTAAGGCCACCTCGGGCCAGATGAAGCAGAACGAGCCTGCTGTTCTTAATGGCTAGTTGCGGGCGCAGGGGCTCTATTTGAGTGAGCTCTGGCTTCTGGAGGGCAGCATTTCCTCTCCTAATCTCCCCGAATGACACACAGCTTTCCTGAACCAAGCAGCCTGAGGCTCGGGCTGCCCCACCACACTGTGCTCCTGCTTTGGGATAGCTGTAAAGCAGCCCTTGGCTGTCCACTGCAAGACTGTCTCAGCACTGGCCTCTGAACGAGGGCTCTGTGCCAAAACGGCTTCCCTGTTATATGTATGCGCCCCACTAGGGAGGGGAGCCCCCTGTCTCCGGTGTGCCCCTGGGCCCAGGGTCCAGATCAGGACTGTGGAGCACTGGACCTGAAACCCACCCTCACCCTGTCCAGCTACCCAACCAGAAAATCTTGCTGACATTGTACACATGGATTTAAAACAAAAAGCAAATGAAACCCAAAGATACCCAGAGCTACAATCAGCTCCACCTTCTTGCTTTGTAAAGCTTAATTATTCATAGAAAACTCCCTGAGCTCTCCTACCATGCCAAATGGAAAAGCACATTCCCTGGGGCCATGTGGGAATGCCCCAGCCACTAGCAGTCTGTCCCCCATCTTTTATCTCCCAGAAACCCCAGCATCACTCTAGGGCTGTGGGTTGTCTGTCCCCTGTCACTTTACCTCACGAGTGCGTGGCCTCTGCCCAGTGTGCACGTATGTGACTCCTGTGGAGCTTTTGGAACAGTGGCAGGTTTGTTGTGCCTGTAAAACAGCAGGCAATGGAAAGCTGTTTACATCTGTCCACCTGATAACCAACCCCAGCTGACACCAGCAGGCCACAGGCAGAGGGGTCCACTCATGAGGTCTGAGGTTTGGGCTCCAGAGCAAGGAAACAGGAGCAGAGATACAACCCTCCCCCAGTGGGTGCCACCCAGTGCCACCTCCGGGCTGTACTCTCCTCACCCCGGAACCCGCTCGGTAGCCTCGGCAGCCTTGTGGCTACCACATTGTCACTGAGTTCTCCAGGGGATGCTCTGCTCACGTGAGGACCCGGCCATGCCATTCCAGGCCGTGGCCCCTGCCCCCCAGCTCCGTCCGCCTGTGCCTCTTAGAGACACCGGCCACACACAGGCCAGACCTGCTCTCCAGTGCCCAGGCACACATGCTCCTTCCAGTCACCACCGAACAAACCCTTAGTCCGGCTCCTCCACACGCTCTGGCCCCAGCCCAACCAGCTCTCCAGAAGCCTCCCCTGGCCTTGATGTGCAACCAGTGGCCAAGAAAGGGCTGGGTCTATAGCCCCCAGCACCTGCCCAAGGAAGACCCTGGCACGGGCGGCCCCTGGCCCTGGCCCAGCATGTCAGACTGATTGTTACCCCTTAGGGGTGAGCTTGGACCCAAGTCCCAACCCCAGTGGCTGCAAGTGTCTTGGCTTCTCCTCGGTGTCACTCCAAATGATGGGGGGCCCACGCCGCCTCTGCAGCCTGGAGGCTCTGACCTGGCAGATGCGTGCTGTTTTCTGGAGACGGGTGCCTCCTTACAAACAAGGTCTATTGTAATGAACATTTTTCAAAATATTGTGCATTATGTTATTAAAACTAATGTTAAATATTTGCTGTTCAGATTGGCTTCTGTGCTAATTTTGCAGAACTGTAGCACTGTATATTTTATCTAACATTTCTGTGCCAAAAAGTTCATTTTACTGTTTCAGTAACACATGGTCTTGATTATGCTTCTGAAATAAAACTTAAGCTCCTGGATTGATAGGAATGAGAGTTTAGCACCATGGCTCCTGATTCTATACAACCTGGACCCCAGGGTTTGGCCCGTGGGTCACCCCGTGCTGAAATGCACCAGCCAGCTGTTTTCAGCATGAGCCGTTGTGTTTCATGGGCCTAATCATGGTAGCTTCTGATTCATCACGGATCCCTTACTTTTATTCTTAAGCTCTAACAACCAAGTTCATGGGCTTCCTTACACCCAGAGTTTTTACAGAAGTCAAAAAGGAAAAGGATGTGGGCTTCCTTGAAGAGGGCTGAGCTGCCCTGTGGACAAGTGTCCCCACCAAATGATGCCAGGTCCCTTCTCTTACTGCATGCTTCCCTGTCCTGCCTAGGGAGCCGCTGGCTGCCTGCAGCCCACCACTTCCCTCTCCCAGCTGTCAGCAGCCACTCAGTCCCTTTCGGGTCCCTTTACCATCAGTGAGGACACGGGTGCCTGCTTCAGGACAGAGGGCAGGACATACGGTAGATGGCATGTTTGTCATCAGAAGTCACTGAACACAGGAAAGGAGCCCGGCGACACGGATCTCCAGGGTTGGGGAAGGAAAGTGGCCCTTAGATCGTGGAAATAAAGCCTTAGCCTCTGCAGGGGCCTTGGCTTCTTAGCCCTGGCATCGAGGACGGGCAGGTCGCTGTGCCTCGCTGGTGTGACCTGACCTGTTGGAGCAAGCTTTTCTGACGTGGGTGCTGGTCATGCTGAGCAGTGAGTTACCTGGAGCCCAAGTGGCACATGGGCAGGACCTGGCCGGCCACAGGTGCAACTGGACGTGTAGTACCCTAACTACCCTCTTCTGTTAAGGTTTACATGATAGAATTTGTAAGCAAATACGTTTAATTTTCTAAAATCTCTTGTATTAAATTTTCTTTTGGAATAAGCTGTGGTAATTTTGTTACGAACTGGTTGAGATAAACCTCTTTACAGTGACAAAATAAAATGGCGACATTTTATAAATTAGATGCTCAGTGTGTGGTCTCTTTCTTTGCCTTGGTTCCTCAACAGTTGGGAATTTAGATGAACTTTCAGTGTACATGGTATAAGGTTGCTCCCAAAGAGCTCATTCCCCATCTCACAGCACCTCGGACAACAGGGCTCAGTCTGACTAATAGCAATTTTGTTTGAATTAAATGCAACAAAAATCCCATTTGGAGTTACCTGTGTCATTAGGCAGATCTGGATGGATATATGAATTCCAAATTCCATACAGGGAAACCACCTTTCCTGACAGGTGCCTGTTCATTCACCATCTATTTAAGAACCAGATCAGTCCTGGCACCTGGTGAATACCAAGCACGGGGAACAGGGTAGGGAACAAGACAAAAAGAGTCCCCATGTCTTAGACTTACATTCAGGCAGGGTTAGGTCAACACCCAGATAGTTAGGAGTAAGCAGGGCCAGGGAATGAGCAAGGGTTGGGAGAGGACAGCAGCGCCGAGGGCCTACCTTCACAGGCCGGGCTGGCGCCTGCTCTCGGCACCGCCCTCACTGGCTGGGCGTTCGTGCTGTGGGCACCGTGTGCAGTCGAGGGTGCTTTGCCATGTTCCTGGCCTTCACCTGCCAGATTCTGCAGCACCAGAGCAGTTTGCAGTCAGGGCCGGATTCCCCAGTAGGGTACCAGAGAACTACAGAACAAAGGGTCCTCTCTGCCAAAGTGACGTTAATCTGCCAGGTGTGGTGGCGCACGCCTGTAATCCCAGCACTGGGGATGCTGAGGCAGGAGGATCGTTGCGAGTTTGAGACCAGCTTGGGCTACAAAGTGAGCACAAGGCCAGCCTGAACTGCATAGTAAGACCTTGTCTCAAAAAGACCAAAATAAATACTTAAATAAATAAAATAAATAGGTGACATTAATCTGAGACCAGATGGTAAGAAGGGCTGTACTACCCTTCCCCAGATAACTTACTTTAGCTTAAAATTGAGCAAGTAACCTACATTTTAACCTAGAAAAACCGTCAGCAGGATTAGAACAAGCCAAGCACGAGATAGCCAAGGCAGGGGTGGCCCTGGCGGCAGCCTTGGGAGGCCAGCAGACCTGGAGGAAAGAGAGGAGGAGTGCAGACTGTGGAGGGACCATGCATGAGCACTACAGCAGGAACCCTGCAACCTTCCGCTTCTTCCTCTCCCCTGCAGTCCAGCAGAGCGCCGCCTGCGGTATGCAGGCAGGTGTGTCTCCGCCCAGCCAAGCATGCGTGGACTGCCGGTGTCACTCAGTTGGAAGGCGGAGAAGCAGCGTGCCATGGCCTGGGTCCCCCAGCCTCACCCGGCCAATCCCTATCTCCCTCGTGCTTCAGTCTCCGATACTACTGAATAAACTGCCTTGTGTCCTCAGCCCTCCTCAGTCCCAGCCGTTTCCACGCACAGTGGCCTTACAGGGACAGAGCTCCTTGGCAGACCTCCCTGCTAGAGGCCATGCCCTCAGCCCATTCTCTGCCTGTCTGTACCCTACCCACCACCACCAGGTAGTGAGGAATGAGCCCAGGGCCTTTGCACTGAGTTACATCCCCAGCCCTTTTTATTTTGAGTCAGGGTTTCACTAAATCACTGAGATTTCCTGACTGGGCTTGAACTAGAAATCCTGCTGCCTCAGCCTCCCAAAGTGCTGGGATTAAACATGTGCCATCAGAGCCAGGTTGTTTCCCTGTTTCATACCACCCACCTTCTTAAAATCATGGGCTAGGGTGTTTACATGTTGGAAACTTAGACCCTGGTGCCCTAGTGTTGGGAGGCGGGCCCACTAAGAGGTGCAGGTGCAGGTGCATCACAGGGCAGGGGAGGTAGATAGGGGAGCGCCTTGGCCACCTTGTGCAGATATCATGGGAGCGATGCTGCCCTCTTGCTTTTGCCATTGTGCCCTGGGCTGACACAGCATGAGGACCCTCTCCAGACACTAGTGAACGGTTTCTTCCTCCCACGCTCATGCCTGCCTCCGTGTGGCCCTCCTCCAGGATATGAGCTGCGCCGTTTGCTTCTCATTCACTGGTGACTAGCACCCACTTGCTGCCCCCCCATGGCCCTACCTTTCCTTCCTGGGTGCTATCCCTATGCCACTCCTACCCCTTCCTGACCCAGCAGCAGCACCATTCATGCCAGCGTTCCTATGGCAACAACCTTCACACCCCTGAGATCTGCAATCTGTTCTGCCAGGACTGCCCTTCACCTCATTCCCTCCTGCCAGCCTGCTCTTCCAGGCCTGGTTCCAGGGCCCCTGTCCAGACATCCTGGATTCCCCAAACTCCTCTGGCCTTGCTGGGGGCACCCAGTCCCAGCATGAGTCACACCTAGCTCCACTCCTCTGCCTGCACCAATGCTGTCACATGGGACAGAAGATACGCCCCCAGGGCTATGCTTTGATGGCAGTTGTGGTCAGGGGTTTTGCAAAGGGAAACAATTTAATACAGGACACCTAGTTTATAGAATTATTTTATAATAGTCACTCAAAGAATCATATACAAAAAGAGTACAGGAAATCTGTCCACATACTAAAGACCAAAGAATCCAGCTGAGGGCCTGGAACCCACGGTAATGTCCTACATGAGTCCAGCTGAAGACCTAGAGCACTTAATAATGCCTCCCACAAGTCCAACTGGAGACCAAGAGCCTACAACAATGTCCCGTGCAGGCCTGTTTCATGGATGTGCACTGAAAAAGCCCAAAGGTCAGTGGTGCAAGCTAGAAAATCTGTGCTAGCAGGCTGAGGGACCTGCACTAGAGCTAGGAAGCAATGCTCAAAGTAAGAACCAGAGTTCCCCTGAAAAGCACAACAGCCATTTCAGCAACAGTGAAGTCCCAAGCTCCTCTGATGATGAGGAAAGCTGAGTTCCCATCAGGGAAGCCAACGTGACAAGCTTCTCCAGGAGACTGAGCAGTGCACCATCTTCCCCTTCGGAGCCAGGAAGCGATGCTCAAAGTGAGGACCAGAGCTCCCCAAAGTGAAGCGTAGCCATTCTCGGTGACAACGAGGTTCTGAGCTCCTTTGATGATGAGAGCAGTGGAGTTCATCAGGAAAGCCAGCATGACAGGCTCCTCCAGGAAAACCAACAGCTATAGCTGCCCAACAGCTTCTAAGTCCTTCTTTTTATGTTGTTGGCAGCAAGGTGGGCCCTCCTGAGGTGGGCCTCGCTCACCCAGCGCAACGCTGGTTCAGTTCAGCTGGGTGTTACAAGTTGACCACCAGTTGTCAATCTACCACAGCACTCCTGCCTCAGTTTCCTGTGGTGGGTCTGCCCTTGTCCGTTACCTCTCAGGGCTGCAGGGCTGCAGGATGTGTCCTCCCCGCTTGGTCTTGTCCTATACTCCCTGCTGCCCAACATGGGTCACATGTGTCCCTGTGAACTTCCTCATAACCCCACTAAAAATATAAAACACCCAAAGGAGATGAATTGTGAGCACTCATTTCAGTTAACCTGACACAGTCAAATACTATTTTACTGTGCAACCTATGTTTTAAAATAAGACATTAATGCTTTTTGGGTACTACGTCAAGCTCTGGTGCATATTTCACCCTTACTACACATCTTGATCTGGACCAATCACATTTCCAGGGCTTGGTAGCCAAAATAATTGGTGGCTACTGTTTGGGATGGCACAGCCACAGGGGGTCACCTCCCCAATCCCATGTGCCAGCCTCCGTCTCCCTGAATGCCAGTCTCACATGCAGCCACCACACCACCAGCCCTGCCAGCCACATGTCTACCATGGACTGCCAGTCCCCAGCTCTCCATTTCCTCCCCTAGGCGGCTCCTGCCTGCCCTTCCCCTTCCCTGGGTAGGTAGTGGCACCATACCAGTCAAGCTTGACCTCTCCTCAGTCCCACCCCTGGCTGAGCAGCACATACCTTGGCTCTATGCGGGAAATCTCAGGTGCAGCCACAGCCAGCACCCTCCCATCCTGCAGCCACCACCCTCCAACTCGCCTTCCACTCAACTGTGCCACCATTTGATGCATCTCCATGGGACACCTGGCATGACCCCGCTCTTGCCACTCCCTTGATCACAACCTGCTGAGGTCTCCTCTCCTGGTCGCCTGTCCCTGGGAAAGACAAAGTCACTTTCCAACAATGTGGAGAAGGACATTCCTTAGTTACTATTTTGTGTATTGCCTGAGGCCTGACGAAGCCATGATTGTTGGGTTCTGGGGGAAGTCTAGCATAAACAGTGTAAGCCCGAGGATCAGTACTAGATGCTTTGCTGAGAAATGGGCGAATGAAGATAATATGATGGCTTACTGGTCAGGTCGCACTCCTATAATTGAGTTGTATTGACCTTGCTAAAACAGTTGATATCCTCCATTCCTCTGCTGCCTCCTGGGTTGATTCTGAATAAAAGGTTACCATAGATGGTAATCAGGAATGTCAGTCCTAGAAGCTGCTAGCACCTGATCACAGGATTTTGGCTCTCTTGGTTTGATTTTTTCATACTTTTCTTACACATCTGCGATGCGGGCACCTAGTTCAGGGGATCTGTTCACCCTGGACAGAGTTGGATGAGCTGTCTGACACAGCAAAGCCAGTATGATCCATCACTGCCCTGGGTAATGTTTCCATGTGACCCAAACCTGCCGAGATAAAGGATGTCACCAACCCCCATACAGTAGTCCCCCATCTGCCTGCATGCTGGCATCTCCTCTGGAGCTTCAGAAGTGGCCCCATCTTGTCCCCATCCATAGCCTCTTTTCCTGAACCTCAAGTCAGCCGCCCAGCCCCGCATGGCCCGCATCTTCCTGGCCTCAGCCTCTCCACTTCTCCAGGGGCACCTGACCTTCTAACAAGCCTATGTTGTAGGGTGACTGTGTGTGTCCCCATTGCAACATAAACTGAGAGGGCAGGGACTCTGCTTTGCATGTTGTTCCTACCTAAATCCCAGCCTAGGGGACCTAGTGCCACCTCTAGGTACTCAGTAAATACCGACCAGATACGTATGCCTGAGCCAGCTTTCCACCACCCCGACAAAGTGCCTGAGAG